GAAAGATCAGCATTAGAAGGTAGGTGTCACCCTAACCAAAAAGTCTGTAAAAGTAGGTCAGGCTAGCTGTGTCTAATTTTCTCCACTTTTCTCTTACTTTCTCTCTCTCTCATTCATAACCAAAACTGATTTGTTTATTTTTTTTGCGAATCAAAGAAATCAGTGTAATATGTTACGTTCTGAGCAGTGATTGATAATTTTGAATAACGTTTTAATATATATTGTATTATCTCATTTGCCCGTGTCTTATTCTTATTTCTAAAGAAACAATTATCCACTCCCTTCGTTCACTCGCCTATAATTACGTATATCCGCCAAACAAAATTAGTTAAAACATTATGTACGAATTCTAAAAAAAAGCGTCTTTCCGTTCAGACTATTCCTAATTACATCTAAATACAATATCATTAACAAAACTAGTTGTTTTCACTGACTGGAAGTTTATTTGTGGGGGTGGGGATAAAGAGTTAGTTTGGGGCAGAAGAATTAACACTCATATCATGTCAAGTTATGAGTGTCACAATATAGAGAATTTAAAAATATTATAAAAAAACATAACTCAGATGTGGAACAGAGTTCTTCAATGGGGGTCTGCCCCCCACGCTCCCAGTTGAATAAATTCCTGAATATCATACAGTTAAAAATGTATTGACCAGTTTAACATTTCTTCATTAACTGATGAATTTAAAAGCATATTCTGCTAACATTATGCTTCATTCATACATAATTATAAAATAAAATTAGTTTATTGTAATAAGTCCTAACATCGTTCACAGATTATTTGTTTTTTAAAACGCCTATTTTTTATATTTCTTTGTAAATTTCTGAGCTTTGTCTAGTGTTACCGTATGTACTTATTAAATATCCTCCGGTGACACAGCGATATTTCTGCGGACTTACAACGCTAGAAACCGGGTTTCGATACCCGTGGTAGCCAGAGCACAGACAGCTTTTTGTGTAGCTTTCTGCTTAACTACAAACAAACTTATTAAACTTGTATAAGAATTTAAAAAAATTAAGGTACAAAACACAAAATGTGGGCACCTGCCTGTTTTACAGATCTGCATGTGTGAAAAACTGTACACATTTGACAACTAGACAAAATTATTGTACCTAATATACTTACATACGTATAGTACTGAACTTTAAAAGGTACAGATGTTTTTCATTATAATTTCACAGTAATAAGCATCACTATGACCTTATTAGTTTTGTTGTAATCTACATGACTAGTTAATTTGATTATCATACGACACAAAACTAAAGCGCGTCTTCTGTGAGAATAACAAGGCTGTTTATTAAAGTCATGAAATACTTTTCTACAAAACTAGAGAAACTAAAACGTCACTACCGATATATATAAAGTTATACCTTTTACTCCCCGAAGTTACCGATGTTTATTTGTTTGTAGTTAAGCACAAAGCTACACAATGGGCTATCTGTGCTCTGCCCACCACGGGTATCGAAACACAGTCTCTAGCGTTGTAAGTCCGCAGACATACTGCTGTGCCACTTGGGGGGCACCAGTGATAGAAACCAGTTATTATCTACATTAATAAACCTAAAATCCACCAATATTATTCTGATCAGAATACCCGAAACTAAAAGACAAAATGCTCAAAAGACTAAAATTCCAAAACTGTCTATATCTCTGTTTGGGACCCGCAAAGAGTAACCTTTGTACCAAATTCCACGTAAATTTATCGAAATTAGGTTAACTAATTGACCAAAATCCCCATGATTATCGATTTGTTTAACCTTTCGCTCCCCTCCTAAAATGATCAAAAATAAGCATATCCCACTTTTTTGTATATAATATGTAAGGGACCTGTAAAAAAAAAGTATTTTTGTACCAAATCTCTCGTAACTTGGCCGAAATACTGCGGAGTAATTGTCAAAAAAAACACTTTTTTGTGACATTTTGACCTCCTATAATTACTCAAAATAGGCAAATACATTATTTTTGTTTGTCAATGTGTGAGACCTGTAGAAAGTATCTCTGTACCGAATCTTATGTAAGTTGGTCGAAATATGGCCGAGTAATTGACCAAAAATCTCCAAATTGGTTTTTTTTGTGTGTGAGATCTGGACCCTAAAAAGACTCAAAATGGGCAACTAAGATTATTTTGAGCAACTAAGATTATTTTAC